CAGCAGACCACTCGCGACTCCAAAAGGAGGGCATCAAAGGAGGCCGGTGCTCTGTCTAAGGATGGGCAGCCTGTCAGCATCAACAGCAGTGGAGACGCCGAACCTGGGAACGTGTGCGATGAAAGATGAAGACAAGCCAAGACTCTGTGAGGAGGAAGATGGCCGGAGCTGTGAGCGGTTCACCAAGAGGATGGGGATGGTGATTTTGCTGAAAGTGTGTGGATAATGTGTCTGCGAGTGACTTTTTTGCAAGATCTCGGTCGTCGATCTCAGCGATTTACAACATAAGCACCTGCGTATGTCTCCATCCAAAGATCTCGGGATGCTGCATCTTTGTCGTGCCATTGCAAATGCATGCGTGAAGCAGAGAGTGGGTCACAAACACGTGTTCGCGCTCTCCACCATGCTTTTCTCCCATGCTTATGGTGCCGGTCAGGGATTGTGTCACTGTGTTAAGCCATTTTTAAGAAAAACGAGAACAGACCGTCCCATATGCACATGATAATCACAATCTGCACATCAAATGTTTTTTCTGTGTGGGGCCTTCCTAAGGAATCTGCTTCAGTTCTTTGTGCAAGTATATTCCTTTTGTTGTGAATGAGAAACAATAGTGTGGGAACCAATGATAATGCTGTTTAACCTCAAGTCAATGCTGTAAATGATTTTAAGAAGACCCTGAAGTGCTGTTTAGAAACTGAGATTTTGGAGGTTTGAAGCTTAAAGGTGAAGGACTGTCTTTTCCAGCCTTTGCTGATAGATAAAGAAACAAACACACCCGCATGTGCCTACAACTCATCTTGATCTGAACTGCTCCTGTTTTTATTTGTTATTTTTTACTTTGTTCAGTATTATTATATCTCCTCCAGTTCTCTTACATCTTCTTTTATGTTATATGATGTTACCCTTTATTATGACGTGTCATTTGTGTGGCTTAAGACTGATCTGCATGTGTAAATCAGTCTCCAACTGATTCAGCTTTGGTGACCAAATCTCTGGCTAAATATAATCACAAGCAAGCTGTCTGAAATAAAACATTTATCCTACCTGGTACACATGGACATAGAAAGAACTGCACTAAGAAATACATTCAGGGGATAAATGCAGATGATGAGTTGGGGTATTGAACTATTTGAAGACATTAGCTATTGGCTATTTGAAGAAAACCATTCATTTAACTTGCTGGACAGTAATTGGAAGGCAATCTATATTAAATTCAGAGTCGGACCATTAAATGCTTGTGGTAACGTGTTGCTTGTCAAATGTGTACAGGCCAACTTTTGTGATGGAAAACAACATTTTAACATACAAGATCTGCCACATTTTCTTTCTTGTTTGAATTAAACAATTAAAATGAATTAAATTTGTTGTCAGCTTCTTAAATTGTGAAACCCAGGAAGGAGTGGTACGTGCAGTCATTTCTACAGCGGACTTAATTAACAATATCAATAGAGCAGTATCATCATGCTTAATGTAATTCTTTAATAATTCATGGATGTGTTTCTGTGAGTTAAACCTTTATTGATCTCCAGCGAGGGGAAATTATACTTTAAAGACCTGGTTTAATAGTTGTAGATATACAGTTCTCCCATTCTCATATAAGTTGATTACAGTAATTTTGTTTACTCACTATTATTGTGATTTAGTCCAAAATCCTTAAAGAACATATTAGAGTGACCATCTACACAAAATAGACTTTCATTATTTTCTCATTAAATAAAATACACCACCTAACAAAACCTTTATGAAATTCTAACCCTTATGTAATCATTTTGTTTAAATTGTTGCCCTTTTAGATATTAATAATTTGGGACTTAATCAGATCTATTAGCAGCCATTAGTCTGTAAACTCTGACTGATAATGTAATATGATAAGATAAATAGTTCATGGTATATTCTGTAGTAAAAGAAGCAGCCCACTTTCGAAAGTGATAAGCACAATGTGATATTAATAACAGGCAATGGTGAAAGAAATATATGTATTTTATATATTATTGTTGGGCTACTCAATTCTAAGTAAAGTCTCTTTAAAAGTAAATTATCCTTATTATGCAGAATTGCCCCTTTCCCAGAATGTAATTAATAGGTGCATTGATCACAACCTTTGTTCTTCTACACATTAAATTCTTTATTATTATTCCATACTATGTTTTTGTCACTTAACTACTGTAAAACTTATAATATATAATATAACAATAATAGCCCTGGCGTTTATTTGCTTAAATCACTGAACTCCCCCTGCCTTTATTTGGGACAGGCGTTTCATTCCTTCCTTTAACTAAACTAACTGCTGCTTCTCTTGAGATTTTGTTCAGCAAATTTGACAACTAACATGATGATTGTGATCGCTTCAGAGGTATTTTTCCTTCTTTCTTGTTTACCATGTAAGTCAGAATGAATTAACGTTATACTTTGTTGTTGATCGTTTTCGTAAAATATAGTGAGCAATTGAATTGTAGAGAATCTATAACTGATCTAATGATGTGCAGCATGTACATATTGACAGAAGTTTAAACATTTATATTTGTGTAGGAGATTGAAACGACTTAAAACTCGCTCAAGCGCGCGACCCGTTGGGTTTTAAGAGGTTTTATACATCAAAATAATTTCTATAAAATCCAGACCTTTGGATTGGTTTATTTGTCAAAACGTGTAGCCACACCAGGCTTTTAAATGGGACCCGCGTCTATTAGGGACCCTGCTTTTATTGGAAGTTTTACGGAATTTCTACATTTTTCAACGTAGAAACCAGAAACTAAATTTAAACAAAAACATTCAGATCAATTAGTACTTTTCTGCTAGCATTCAGATTTTTGATAATTCTCATACTTTCCGAAATATTCCATGTTTTCCAGAAATTCTTCCTTATTTAATGGCCTATTTTCAGCTACTCGGCTGTGGCTCAGGAGATAGAGTGGGTCGTCCCCTAATCAGAAGGTTTGTGGTTCGATCCCCAGCTGCTCCTCCTCGTTGAGCAAGATACTGAACCTGAAAATGCTTCCAGTCGCTGTATGAATAAATATCAGTTTCTGTTGGTGATGGGGTTTACTGTCACCGGGTGAATGTGGCATGTAGTGTGAAAGTGCTTTGAGTGGGCAGACTAAAAAGTTGTGAAACCCTAGAAAGGTGATATACAAGTACAGTAGCAATTAATACTTTCAGGTAGAAACTCCATTCAAATGTTCCACACCTTTCCTTTATTTATCGTATTATTCAACTGTTATTATCTGTTAAAACTGCTAAAACGACAGTTATACATTCATTCACACACTTACTCACATTATCTGAGACTCCCATGTTAGTGTTTATGATGTGGAATGAGTTGAGCTAGAGTGGGAGACGTAACAGTCAGTGGAGAGAAGATACTCATCTTAAATGTATATCTTATTAAAATACAGTATTTTCTTCCAGAACAGTGAGACGCATCATTTCACTCTCTGTGGTTCCTCATCATGGACTGAAGGAAGGAGTCAAAGTTGGCCCACAGATGGCGCTCACACCACAATACTGACATCAGTTAGTTACCCACAACCACCCTGTGATAAACTAACAAACAATTAACAGCAGTTCTCAACAACAAATAACACATTTCCAAATGGAGTCTCATGATCAATCTGCAGCATCTGTAACGAAAGACAGAAGAAGAGACGATTGATTGAGTGTTCAATGTTTGTTTATCACATTAAACTCCAGCAATCTGCTTTCACTGAGTACATCTGCTATATGATATATGTGTGACTTCCTCTGTGGAAGCACGTCCCGGTTCCATAAAATATACTAACAATCAAAAGGAAACTGCACAAATGTTGAGAGTGCAGTTCCTAAACAAGAAATTGATGCATGAAATCACAAGTAGCAGGAGCCACAGGAACAATCATCCCTGTAGTCACACTCAATTTGGCCTTGGACAGACATGTCAGAATCAGAATCAGAATCAGAAATACTTTAATAATCCCGTGGGGAAATTACTTGTCTGCTATATCTAAATGAATATAGAGCTTTGGAAGAGCTGTAGAACATGTTCATGTTGTTGTGTAGTGTCCCACAGACCCCAGTGCTAAATCCATCCCTTCCCCCCAGCTCTGACTTACCATTTAAATCCATTAACACTCAAGTTTAAGTTGCTTTAATATCGGGAAAATCATCTCATTCCACCCTGTTTGACATCTTGTTCCATCTTTTCATTGGAGCTATATGATGTTTACACTAAGTTTAATAAAAAAAAAAAACAATTTCAGTCTGACATGTTTGGAATCTTTGGACACTTTGATAGCTCCATTAGAATTAATTTAAAGTTTACAAACCTACCTGTGCTAGGGCTGAACGATTAATCCTCTCTAAGTCACCATTCAAAAGAGAACAATTTTCAAATCACAAGCTGCCTTTTTAAACTGTAACTTACATACATTACACAATTGTAGGTGGTGGATCATTTTTGTAATTATTTATATCAGTGGTCATGGTGGGGTCGCAAGGCCTTCTTGATTTTAAGGCATGCTAGAAAACAAAAAAATATAAATGTAAATTGTCTAATACAACACTGGTCAGCTGTTAGGGACAAGAAAACACTTAATTTATGAAAAAATAAGTATACATGACTGTTAAAAAGGACAAAAAGAATTAACGTTATACTAATAATGTGGCCCTTTGCTGTGTTATATATATATATATCCTTTTTATACAATTGTATAAAAACGAAAATAATTTGCTCAAAAGAAATCTAAATCACTCCTGTCACACAAACGTCCTGCTGCTTTGAGTTCACTATTTGGGTTAATTGTACAGTTTTTATGTAATATCTATAAAATACGTCACTTATACGGAGATCGTCAACTTATTCAATGATAGAAAAATGATTTCTTAAGGAAAAAGGTAGGGAACACACCTGAGGGCGGAAGCTCTGTGGCGCATAAAATGACGATTTCCGCATGAAATTTAAATTGATGGACAGACTCAGCCTCTCTTTTTCTTTTTTTTTATTCCTCGACGAGCCTCAGCCGGTCATGCGCAGTTAACCGGCGGGCAGTGAGACCACGCGGAACGTGCTGTGTGTTGGCTGTCTCGCGCTGGAGCCGTTGGTGCTCTCCGTTCTCACCGGAGATTAAAGCAGTTGATTGGGAGGTTAACGTCTGACCGTGTCGCTGAGTGACTCTCAACATATCACCCGACAAATTCGCTTTTTTGGGGGGTTTTTTATATTTTTTTCCTTTACGTTATGTGGTTATAATGAGGTGAGGATGGCTAAACGACCGGGGACTGACGACGGGATGTTGACTTCGCCGACCATTCTCCGGGATTTCGCCGCCGATGTGAACGCCGGGGACGTGAACATGGACTGCGGCGACGGAGCCGTTGGGGTCTCCCTGGAAGAAATCCTGAAACTGTACAGCCAGCCGATAAACGAGGAGCAGGCGTGGGCCGTGTGTTATCAGTGTTGTCGGACTTTAGCGCAGAAACATAGGAGGAAAAGCTCCAAGTCCGCCGGTGCTTCGGCTGTCGACTATCCGAGGAGGATTGAGGGACCCGCGGATGTGATGATGTGGAGAGACGGGACTGTCAAACTGCACTTTGAAGGCAGCACAGGTAAACGAACCGAGCCCCTAGCCAGGTGTTTGGATCCACTAAAAACATCTGTCTGGTTGTGAGAGGCTGCGCAGCTGAACGACAGAGACCGATATCTCAACAGGCTGTCAACAATGAAGCATTTTTTCCCTTCACACCACTCACAGGCCAAACCGATGGAGCATCCTTACACAGAGGCCATATTGTTGTGGCTGTCTGCCTCCAGCCATGTGGTGAATTTGTTTACAGACGCCCGATGCGGTTGTTAATAATACATCATAGATCACTGCATAGCTGCTGGGGGGGATCAAAGACCTATGAAGCCGTGTTATCAATTATTAACAGACAGGGTTTGTTCTCACGACAGAATCCAATATTTGCATTATAAACACGGCTCATATTATTGCTTCAATCAGACGGGGTGTGTTAGCAGGGTTGCATCAGAGCGGCTCGCTTTCGGGGGGTTTGAATACTTTGAATTAGGCTCCTGCAGCGGTCAGTTAGCTACAGTAAACAATAAAACCATGTGATGCATTCAAACTGCAGAGCACCTTGGGTCCAGTCCAGAGTAAAGCTATACAGCGAGCATCGCGGCTACACTGAATAAGTGGCACAAAGCCAGACACAGATGAGTCATATTGCTGCTAACTGCCCCATTATTTTGTGTTGTGACATTTAGATAAAGGCACAGATTAATGTGGGAGGAGGGTCCCTTAGTACATAGCAGGTGCTATGCGTGTAGGCTGTATGCACCTGAGGTACATTAGGAAACACGGTTTAATGTAGATTAGTTAAAATAGTAAGGTATAGTAGAGCCACTCTATTGTGGTCTGCAAGGTCCACTATCATGCAGGTTTGTGGTCCACCTTCACTATTTACCTCAGAGCTGAAACATTTATAGATTCATTGTTAGATCAGTTGATTAAAAGGAAATTAATAATCAACAATTTTGAGCCTTTTGAAAGGATTTTAAAATCCCTTAAACAAACATGCCAAAATTACACTGAAACTAGTTTCTCAAATGTCAACATCTTGTATGACATTAAGTTGAAAACCCTTTTGAGCAAAACAATATGAAGATGTCACCTTTGCCACTATATTCTGACATTTTATAGACTTATTGATTAATTGTTAATGAGAGGAATAGGCAGTTTATTGACTCTATTAAAAGAGTCCAGTCCAAATGACTTAGCCCTTGCTGTCTTTTAATATTATAGCCTAGCATAGATTTACTCTTGGGATTCGAGTTAAAAGCAATCAACTGCTGGAAAGACTACCATTGTTCACGGCCCCAAGGACCGCTTGGTAACTCTGGTGTAAAATGATTCTAGATTAGATGTCAGGACTGAGAACTACAACTGAGGCCGTGTAGTGTATTTTTTTTATTTTCTTTTTTTTCAGAGCACATTTTCTATTCAAAGGGGCTTCCAGCAAAGCTTGTTTCAGAACCCAGAGTGTGTAGACAGATGTACAGAGTGTCTCAACGCCTTGTACCCTTAACTGCATGCCATTAATATGTGAGAGATATAGCTGGGAGGAAGAGGAGGAGGTGGAGGAGGAGGTGTGGCTGTCAGCATAGCTTCAGGCTCTGAGGTTATATCCTATCTCTCCTGGGAACTTTATTAGCCACCTTTCTCCTTATTTTCCCCTCCACCAGCACCGATCTCGCTTCTAAACTAACCCCTCAGTCCAGCTTTCCTCCATCTCAGCATATTTAGTTTGGTGTGTGTGTGTGTGTGTAAATCACACAATCGGTACAAACACATTCAGCCAGTTCTGCTGAGAACCTTGGCACAGCCAGAAATAGAACAAACGTGATGATTAGATCCACAGACTTTAGAAGTCTGACTGCAGATGAGTTTGTAGATTATGGGGAGAGTCCTTTGCTGCTCTTCTGGCTAGCGGCTGGGGTATTTTTGTACAGCTGTCCTGATTCTCATTAGGCCCAGCGATGAGAGAGACGTGAGACCTATTAAGCTTTCGGTAGCCCAGCGATAAGAGGTTTCTCCCCCAACAGAAAATCAATGCTTTTGCAACCTACGTATGGTCTGCACATGAGTCAGGGACCAGGTGGTCCAACACTGAGCCCTTCGAGCTCCCATGGCCGATTCTTGCTGCTTCCTCCCGTCTTGCTGCTTGTATCAAGATGTTGTCTAGAGCCACACACTGCTGCGGTGGTCAGCTAGCAAGGAATCTGAGCCATCAGAATCAGGCTAATAAGCAGCACGGAGTCCAGGTCGAGTGTTATTTAAGAGGCTGAGTGTTATTTAAGGCTCAATTGATGTGAGATTCCCGCTGCTGCTGCCGCTAGATCAATTCACATGGAGCATAGGGAAGAATATATTTACTCCCACTCCAAGTTGCCTAGAGAAGGGCCGAGCCTGAATGCTGCATCAAGATGAGACACTTGTTTGCCCCAAGATGTTCAATGATTCATACCTACAGTATAGAACAGAGGAATTTGGCGCATGCAGTATTTTAACTGGAATGTTATTCATACAGTTGATTTGGTTAATTGTGTCGTTGAATAGGTTTAAATAAGGCTGGAACTCCTCCTCTTTTTTTTTATTTATGAATGTGTTTGGAGGCCAGGGATGGGTAAAAGTTAAAACATTGCAAAGTTTAATCTGGCAGAAAAGTGCACATCTACCCATCCGTCTCTGACTCTCTGTGAAACCCTTTCAGCAGCACAGAGGTTGATGTTTCTGTTAACAGGATAGTCTGGGTGACACCGCCGGCTGCTCCAAATATGCCCTCTGTGACTTACTTTCCCTAGGACGGACAAGGGCCCTGGCCAAGCCATCTCTCCTTGGCTGCCTGGGACAAACAGAGGACCTAGTGTTTCTCAGATGAGTGTTGGTGGATGACTGTTTTTTTTCCCCCTCACGTATGTTAGCTTTAGCTCATAGTGACCTGCAACGAATTGAGCCACGCTATGAAACAAGTATTTTCCGTGAATGTCTCGCGTGCAACTACGACAGAGTAGTCCTATTTAATTGGAAATGACTCAGCACTTCCTCAATTGATGGAATTTAAACTGAAATGGCACTTGTAGTATCATTCAGATATGGCCCATCTGATCTTATCCATATGCAGTGAGCTAATTTTATACTCTGGACTGGTGATAAAGTCTGCAGATCTATCAGTCTATTTGTACTTTGACCCCTGACGTTACTCTAACCGGCACTTACCCTTTGTTCCAATCACTATTTGCAAGTCAAAGGTTAAAGTAAACTCTGTATGTAACAAATGTAATATTGTTCAGCTGGGAACTGAAAATGATTCAGTGTGGGAAAGAGATGTAATCTGTGTACTTTTGAACTCTTACATGGAAATCTAGATTTACAGATATGTTGAAAAGCCAGCAAAAGAACAAGAGATAAGATTATCAGAGCTTTTGTTTTTTTTCTTTTGTCCAATAATCGAAAGAGAAAGTTGAGGTTTTCCATCCATTTAGGTTCCTGTTAATTGTTGCATAGTTGAGAAAAGGCGTATCGTGAACTGCAAAGAATAATCAATCAAACGATCAAGGTTGAGTTGTTTCCTCCTTTATTTTAACCTTTCATTTCGAGAGGGGCTTCATGGAAATAAATGAAATGAGTGCGATGGTTAGATGTTTTTCTTCCAATTATGAATGAACAGTCACATTACTGTAACCGGCCCCTAGTGGCTAGTTCTGACACCTCAATTTGCCTCGAGCACTGTGCGGTATCTGCAGAGAAAACATAATCATTTATTCACTCGCTGGTTTTACAGTCACGTTTTAGTGCTGTCGGGTAATCATGCTTTTAAATTTAGCATTCCATTCACACTCCTGGTATGTGAAGTTTAATATTTCATGTTCTGTAACACTGTGTGAGGCATGTGTTTTCTCTGTTCACTTTAAAGATGTTTTGCATAGCTGTACAGAACACGCACATAAAAAATAATTAAGAGGGTGTGTGCGCATTGCTGATGTCTGTTAGAAACAACCACTTGCACACTAATAAGTATCCACAGTGTTTATGGGTGTGAATAACTCTCTCTCTGTTGTGTCATTGCAGAAAAATATGGATCAGCCCCTACGTCATTAGAGGTAAGTTTCACATCACAGTTGCCTTAGTCACTCTACAGTTCCAGCTGTTCTATTACACTAAGGATAGAATATGCTGTTTTTTTTACTCTTGAAAGTTTGGGATCACTTATCATGGTAACACAGACGAAACTATTTCAGAAACTGTTTCCACAGCTTGCCCACCACTGACGCTATTGGTGAGCAATTACACCACAAGTAGGATGGTGCTGCCACTGTGTCGCAATATTGTTGACTTTAGCCTTGTGAAAAACATTTTCTCTATATCGAGCCACATGGAAGAAGATATTTAGATCATTAACCATCAATGCTGGGGAAAGGTCGTGATATTTTCTTGTGCGTAGGGGCCTATTTTCTCTTCAGATCCTAGTTGGAACCTGCTCAGCAGGTACAGATGGCAGCAGGATGTGCTTTCTTGGATTATCTGTGTGTGTAGACATGCACACACAAAATAAACTTACCTCTTAATAAAAACAAACATAATTGCAGCACCTGCACAGAAAGTTGTATCCATGACAAAATATTTTTATTTGTGGGTGACGGCGGCATCCTATAAGTTAACATTTATCCAAATATAACAACATGCATTACATCTGTCCAGTGCTTTGTCCCAGAAATTGAGCCCTGACCTGTGATGCACCAAACACGAGTGAGTAGGAGTGAGCTCTGCACAAATGGTGCTCTTTATTCTGTAGTTATTGTGTGTGCCACTCTCTAATGCAGAAGGACCCTTAAAAGAGAGCACGTCTTTGTTCTTCTATTTTCGTTCATAAATGCATTACTTTTTATAATATTATACACTCAAACATCATCACCAAAACCATGTGAAGAGGACATGTGGCCAGTATCTGTTTGGTCAAGCAAGGTAGATTGTAAAACACTGGGAGCAGTCATTATGTGTACACAGACTAATTACACAGAGAGTCCTCTGTCAACTACGATCCGTCTGATCATCCTTCATGTTTGTCTTGTAGTTCATGTGATCATAGGCATGCACAGTATGTGTGTGTGTTTTTGCGTGGCTTAGTTGGAAACAGAATTCCTCTGCCTCAGCTGACAGAACCTGGATGAAATCTCATGGTTGAACAGTGGGCTGCTCAGCCTAAATCTAAGCCATTGCTTATAGCACCTTACTACGGATAAACAGGGTGTGTCTGCCTTGTTGGTTCTTTGGTAATGCATAACACAATGGTTATTTTAGTGCATTAGCGTGACAGTCTTCCAGAATCGACCATGCGGCTACACCTTGAGGCCACTCCCTTGTTTTAAAAAATGTATTTATTATTTTTTAGGCTCACTGATTGATAGGTGAAGTACAGATATAATCACTTGTCACTTGTGTGAGCTCTGTGTTAGTGTCTTTGGCTTGTTTTTCCAAATCAGATTTTGGTCACGTGTTAAAAAAACAATGGCAATGTTTGTTTCAGACTGAAATGTCTACTGTCAGCTACTAGTACAACTCAAAGTGCCCATGGCCTTAATTATGTATAACTTTAAACCTTAATATAATTTAAATGTGTGAGTTTATTTCTGCTGTAAAGTTACGGAGGTTGATCACTTCTGTAATCTGCCTCAAGTGGTCGTTGGAGGAACTGCAGTTTTTCTTCTGTGTTGGCTTCATTTGCCAGCCATGGAGGTTGCCGCTTGGTTATAATTAGCAAATGTTAGCATGCTAACATGCTAAACCAAGATTGTAAACATTATACCTGCTAAACATAGGCATGTCAGCATTGTCATTGTGAATATATTAGCATGCCAAAGTCAGCATTTAGCTGTCTATAAATACAGCAGAGAAGCTAGCAGCTCCAGCTAACAGCTATAGTCTTGTTTCAGCTGTTCTGTTTGATTTGTTTTGAATTTTGTTAGTTCTTAATGTAATTTTATGTTCTGAGAAGCTGTTGACTTTAACTGGAGCTAGAAATTTGCACGGGTGCTTCTCCTTGACCATATTATCTCCTGGTCATTTGGGGTAATTTCATTAAGTGCACACAACAACTCACACATATCACCCTTTTTAATTGATGATACACAGCAATAATCTCTCACTTTTTGGCCACAGTCCTTTGTCCCTCGTGTTTTGGCCTTTGACCAGTACCACTCTCTCTCTCACACACTACTGTGCTTCTACACACTTGAGTCTTTTGGAGCTAATCAGTAGCTTGTATTGAGTTGACCCACTTTCCCTCACTTGCACCATTGACGCTTTGTTAGGATGATCATCAGTAATGTCAAACAAGATACTGATTTGTTACTTTACATTAAAACTCTTCATGAGTTGGCTTTTCTCTTGGTGGTCGAGTATTGTCATTTTCATGGTTGGTAGTAAATATTCAGAGGACAAGAATTTGTGTGAGACGTGCACCTTCTGTTGTAGCCCTGAGGACAAGCTTAACCCACTTTGTCCTCATTTGAAGATTAAGGTGAGATTAGTTGTAGTTCGTATCCTATTACAGGTTCTCCTGTTTGTGTTTGTGTCTGCTCAGGTCTCTGTAGCTCAATTTTGGGCCAAGACAGTTAGTTTGCCAGCATCATGCACAAGGCGAAGCCTTGGATTTTAAATGGATCCTAATAGATTGATTTTAAGTTAAGGTAATCAGCAAATGACAGTTAAGGTGTTATGATCTCATTCTCCAAATAATATGGACAGATAACACCCCCAAGTTTGAAGCATTCACTCCCAGACCTGTTTTTTCTTGTTTGAAACTTACTTTCCAGATTTATATTCTTGTTATCTTCCTTCCAGATGGTTAGAGCTTACATATGTGGTTGTTTGGCTCAGATTCAGTGGAGTAGTGCATATTTTTGCATGTAAACAGTGTACAGTACGGTACTGGCTTCCACGCTGCAGCTGGTTGAACCCCTGTTCAACCAGCTGCCTGTGAGGCTTCTGTGTTTTAATGCGTGCGGGTGTGTAGAGCCTATACCAGTCACTGCAGGCAATGAGCATCATCTCTACAAAGACCGTTTCTTACTCTTGTCAGCTCTGATGTCGGACTACACATTTTAAGAGGGAGAGACGTAATTTTTTTAAACATAATTTTTAAAAATGGATTTGGAATTTTAGTAAAGATTTTTCTGAATGTGTGTTTTCACTTTTATGTAAATAAGTACATAAGTACATTGTCTGTGGCTTTTGAATTCAGACCAGTCCCCTGAAGTGACAGACTGGCACCCAGTTTGATCCCTGCGTGCCTGTTTTTACCAGTGACCTCATTGTTACATCCTGCTTTTATCCTAATCAATCAATTGATTTTTGTGACATTGACAGCTTCACTTAAAAGCACCCGTGCGGCTCATATTACAACCCAGAGGTTCAATTTCTGTCGATGCAGGGATATTCACAGCAAGCACAAAACCACAGGAATGAATTTATTAGTAGTCTAGGGCTATTTGAGTCAGGGTATTCTATTTATATCCATCACAGAAATATATTTCTCATTTCTGTGGTTCAGTCAGGCCTGAGAGATGAATTTAGTTTCCTCTTCAGACTGTCAGTTTATGATGTTGTCAGATATTTTGTCACAGATATTTTTTAGTAGCTGCTAGAAAGTCCCTGTGTGGTTTTTGGAATAAGACAAATGGGATTTTTGTGATGAGCCAGTACTTTCATGGAAGCTGCCAATCAGATTTGTGTGGCTTTTAGAGCCACTGTGGGGACTCTGACAACATTTTAGGCCAAACTCAGTTGGAGGAACTGTAAGTTACAGACGATGAAAACAAGACTATAGGTTTGATTTTGGCACATACAATAACTGTCGTCTGCACTATGTGTTGCTAAGGCTATTTATAGGCTTTTTATTTTTATTTTTTTGTAGTATCACATGTTCTCAGTGTTGAGAAGGCAGACAATTTCTCAGTTTTATCAGTTGTGATGCTTCTTATTTTAAATAACATTCTCTGTCTTACCTGCATCCACAGTGTCAGCTTTTATGTCTGTCACCCTGATACCGTGAGATTATGACACATATTTTCAGTGATGGCGCTTCAATCCAGAGGGGCATTTTATCTGTCCTCAGCATTTTCCAGTTGACTTCATAGATAAATGCAGACTTGACAGTTTTTGACCAGCAGATATGAAAGAGAAGCATCATGTTCTGTCCTGCTATGAACTCTGGCATTGATGCAGCAGACTGGAGGAGGCTGAGCATCCGCTCCTGTGGTGAAGACCTCTAGATTTTTAGCTCTGCTTATGTAACTGTCTGTGTTGTGATGGCTTTGCTCTACTACTGCAGTGAATGCTGAAGGCTGCTTAGCTGACTGCTTTGAGAACTCAGATAACCACAGTGATGCCTTGGGCTGAGTGTTAACTCGGAGCCAAAAATTATGCCAGGTCACTTGCTGTAGTCTGTGAGAACACAGGCCTTTGTTTTCAAATGAATAGTGATATTACTTTAACTGTAACTCTATCTTAAATCTCCCTTGCTATTAACTCATGAGCTATATTAGAATTTTCCATATCCATATGTCAACTGATGTGAATTGACAATTCAGTAATTCATTCATTATAAACTGACCTGCGTGCCAGAAGACTCAACTGCACATAAGCCTGACTTCTTCCTCTCTTGTGTGTTTGTGTGAGTGGTAATGGTGCTCTTCAACACAATCCACTCATTCTTTGCCATCTGCGTACTGGTTGACTCACTGATGCTCTCCCCATCATGGTAGCTCCTCTTGTACAGCTTATATAACAGAATATGTATATGTCAGTTTTTCTGCCTAGTCTTGTTTTCTAAGATGATTTGTCCTTGTCCTGTTTTATCCCATATGAATCAACCTGACAGTTTATATGAGCTTTTTGGTTTTTGTCCTCAGTGATGGAAAATAACAGTTAGTTCCAAGTAAAACATGCAGTGCATAGGAAAAGAGGAAAAATATTTTACTTTATTTATTTGACCATCATCTAACCAGGGGTAGTCACATTGAGAATGAATCACTTTTCCACCAAGCAAGTTCTGGTCAAGAAAGCAGCACATGCAGTGAAACTCCGCCAAACAGTAGCACGCAGCCATGGGGCCGAAATCACCAGCGACAGCAGCATTTATACTCGTGAGTGACCAAACTTGGTTCCCTGTCTGAGCTGTTTGGCCCGAAAGGAGACCAAGCAGATGTTTTTAATTATGTGTCCCTCTCATTTTTTATTTATTTTTTTGGTTGTCAAAAGGCCAGTGTTTACTAATTGTAGAGCTTGGCCCATTTTAACTGGCTAAGTGGTAAAACTACTTTTAATTTTGTTGTGTGGCACATAGCTTTACCAAGGCCATGTTTTGAAGAAAAAAGGTTCCCTTCAGGCACAAGGATTTTCTTACTATTATTTATTAACTGCTAACTGTGCTTATTGGGAACTAGCTCAGTCAATGATGTTCAAGATTTGATATGAAACACTGCGTTCCTGCAGGAGACAAAGGTTAATCATGAAGAGAAGAAGAAATTCACTTTGTATTCATCATTGATTGTCAAGATTATGCCCCTGACACTGGTCTTAATGGGAGAAGGAGGTTCTCTAGTATAAAATAACTCATTGTTGGAAAACGAGCCTGAAGCACTTCTTTCCCAGGCAATGATGTCATGCAAGAGCTCAGTATCGCTATTTGTTTGTGGAGTGTGAGAAAAGTTGATTCTGAAGGAAAACCATTCTGAATGGATTTTTTGTGTTACACACTGGTTGTGATATTTGTGTATTTAGTAAACGGTACATGTGTCAGTAATGCCCAAACACTAAAGCTGCATTAAATCTCTGTGATACTATGTTTTTTTTCGACACCCAGATGACTCATCTTGCTGCATTTCCTAAGGAGCATTTGGAAGCGTAGGTGGTTTCCTGCGTTACCTGTAGTTGGCTAAGACCACAGCGTTAGGAACATACTGTATGTGGGTTTCATCAACCATGGCAGACTTCCAACTATCCTGGGTGGAGCCTGGTTTCAATTAGCGGTTTGCTACCAAACATTTCTGCCCATGCCTGAAACCCTGCAGTGGATTTTCTGGCTGTCTTTCCAAACTGTTTATTTGCATACTTGATCCCCCTCCTTCCTCCTTCCTTGTTCTTTGCTTTGCATCCTTGCCTCATTCCTTTTGATTCACAAGTGTTCAAAAAAGATAGTGATGTCTAATTACAAAACGTAGCTGTCTTCTTTTTCTTTTTCCTCTTTCCTGTTCTGCCTCTCAGTCAGTCTGGGTACTGGCTACGGACACCTAAGATGCCTCTTCCCCGTTCCATCTGACTTAAACTCATAGGGGACTTCATTCAGTTCCTTCTGCCTTCCCTTGGATTTTTTTCTACCTATTTATGTCGATTTAATTATGTCTACCTATTTAAATTGAGTCCAAGCGGTCATTGTTTATAATCTTGAGCGGCTAAATCTCGGATAACATAAACCAGATCATTGCACTGAGTGCTTTAATTAATGATGCATTGCACAGCAAGCCTTTCAGTGCTAGCTACTGTTGAACCACTGGCCAGTTAATTATTACAAGCCAGTTTGTGTTGGAAGGGAAATTGGATTTAAACAATAACTGTTAAATCTACTCCTGCCTTGCCAGAATGGCAAATGTCCCTCAATTGGAAATCTAGTCTAATGCTGAAATTAGACATTGGTACAAGAGGATTTTCCACACTTGACTGATGATGTTAGTTTAGTATACATGGTTTAATGTAAACCTTTGCGTTCCTGTTGCCCATGAATGAGACCCTCTGTTATTCCGGCATTCCCTCGTATCTCCGCCCACTACAGTGCATGTTGTCCTACAGATGGATTATAAGGTTACATAATGAGACGCTAAGGAATAGGATATTTATTTAAGCCCTGGAACAGGATTATCAGCTGCACACACACAGATGGTTGATAAATGATAGTGGTACGACACCGCAAACTGATCTTTCTCCAGGAAAGAATAGGATCAATAGGTTAATGGAATATTCAGAATAGAGGCTGTTTAAGTGGTGATATTTTTATTTATAGACACTGAATAGGAATCTGACACAAACTGACAGTTCAGGGATTTTATCCATAAAGAAGAAAGTTAAATTAAACTTTTCAATGGAATAGCCCCACGTTTTCGCTGTGAAAATAATGAAAGGGTTTGAAAACCCATTGTATTAGATGAAAAAACATTGTCAGAAAACTAAAAACACAGGTTTTTATTACCTCATGAAAAGATGACATTTTTGAGATACATGATTTTCACAGGACAGCGACGTCATGCTTCTCAAAGTCTCAAGAACAAACTACAGACAGACATCTTTGTGGGGTTTCGTCCAAATGTGAGGGCTGCACTTCGACTCTATATTGCATGTCAGTTACATTATGTCAGTAATGATTATTCACCTCGGTTGCTGAAGTCAATGAGCCCAAACATTCTCAGTCAACACCCTTCCCTTCTGTGCGCTACACTCCCAGACACCACAGCCAGGTACTGTTCCCTGGCAATTCTCCCAAACACAGCCAGCCATGCCCGTCAACACCCGCTTCACCCACATCAACCTTCTGCTTTATTTGGACACCTCCCTTTTTCAACAATGTCGCTCCATTCCTTTCTGGATGAGAACATACAGTACAATAATGACTCAGTATTGAGCACTTAGAAGCACAGTTAGCTGATCATTTTATTACCTTAACTAAGCCATTTCAAAGTAGCTTTGAGGTGTTGCTTGTTGTTACCACATTTAGACCTGCAGTGCTGCCATCTTATTCAAAGAGATGGTAGAATGCAGCTTAACTTGACAAGTAGTGATACAATTATCTTAATATTAAAGATCTGCTGGAATTGCTATCAGGGCTAATAATGCCATTTTTTAAAATGGATTAGCATTGGTTGTAGTATAAATTAAATTCTAAGTCTATTCAGATCCATTGTTTATTGCCATTGCATTGTTTTGTGGCCATGCTCTGTTGTTCTCTATAAAAACACTGCAACCTGTTCCACATTGTAAACACAGAAACTTAGTTCACCACAGAATGGCACAAGCAGATTGCAGCCAGCAGTTACTATGTCCACATCCATGGCAGCTGTACACTAACACTGGATGCTGGATATTCTAGAAAACAATGGAGAGCACTCTACAAAAATCTGAATATATTTCTTTGGAGCCTGAGAGTGCAATGTAGAGCTGTATTACTGTATGTTGAAAATACAATTATAAAACATAAAACAACTAATATTGGGGTCACAGGCAAACAAACTTCACAGCCTAAGTTAGTGTGATATCAGACGTGATTCTCATTTCTACTTATGTCAACTGACCAAATGGTTGTGCCACAAAAAAAACACCAATCAAATTATGAACTACAAAATGCTTTTCTCAAGAAAATGATTGTCTGCTTGCTCCTGACGATTTACATTTGAAACATTTGAAATGTGGATGTTGAATTGGCAATTAAAATGTAAATGCTGAAGGAGAAATCATGTTTCATTTAAAGTTTGAGCTAAGTTGAAGCTCAAAGTTTCAGTTAAAGTGAAAGTCCTGAAGGAGATTACTTTTATTATTTCATTATTAATTAGCTGAACATTATATTCAACAAAGGCCCTAATGACTGAAACGTGTACAACTCTAGACACTCCTTTGTAATCATATTTTAAAAGGTGCTATCCAGAATCCAGGTTTAGTGCTTTATTGTCAGAATGTGTCCTTCCTCACTGAGCTCTGGTTGAAACCAGTTGTCCTACAGATATGAGGCTTCCAAAGGTTGTTGCAGGTCTGCTGAATCTTGAGCTCATTTTGCTTCCAAACACTTGTTGATCAGAGAGCACTGGTTAGATTAAGTTGTCTGGAGAGGACATGGGACAGCAGAGCCAACTGTACATGCTGCAGTGAAAGAACAACTTTGTCTCATCGCAGCCCGGGGGTGGTTTGAGACATTAAGATGAGTTGGAACAAGCTGCAAAAAAAGATAGGTCATACTCTACTTATTAATGAGGGGAAGCAGTGATGAAATAAAATCATGCCCAGATTATGGTAATAACCACGCCGTTTGGAGGAACACTGTGGCCTCGTTTCACATCTGGTTTGAGGACACAAACTGTCTTCTTGTCTGCTCAGGTGAATTGAGTTTGTTGTGGATAGTTGTTTATCTAACTAAGATAGGGGTGCAATGAAATTGGGTCTCATCCAGGAGGATGTGCTTGTGTGCCATTAATCATAGAGCAGCAGGGGCAGAGAAAACATAATGTGGCGTGTAGTCTGTCAGCTGGAAAGAACACATCACAGCAAGTAAACAAATCAATGATAGTGGACAGGGAAATACTACTACCATAGTAGTCCCTCAAATTGGAACATATTTACTTAATTGTCAAGGTGAAGAAGAGTTAATGTTGTATGTGCACCTTAATGACATTTATGAATTCACTGTTTTATTCACCATGCTTGCACCAAAGCAACAAAATGGCAAAAATGGCACTGAGCAGGTATGACAGTAAAAAATTGTAATGATATTTATATTTTGTTATTCTTTGTGTATTTCATGTCTAACTTAGAAGAAAAAGATCTGATATGGTGGAAGGCAGTGAATGTCAAGCCAAATGTCAGTATCGTGACAATATGTGTGAACGCGTGAATCCCTTCGAGACTATAAATGTGATGAAAGGCTCCTATTAAAAAAAACTAAACACAATCCTAAACTGTTCTTTTTTGTTTTTCTTTTTTTAGAAACTCAAATAAAAGGAACTATTTTGAAGCCTAGGAACGTCTATAAAACAGATTTATTTTCCAGTGCACAGTAATATTCTTCAACATCCCATTTGTCCATTGTCCCACAGGTTATTGACTCACTGGGTGTCATGATCTACAAAGCTCTGGACTACGGCCTCAAAGAAAACGAGGAGCGTGAACTCAGCCCGCCTCTGGAGCGCCTCATCGACATGATGACCAACACCGAAGAAACTGAGAGCGACCCTTGTCCCGACGAAGGCTACGAAGCCACGGAGGAGGAGGATGAGTGTGAGGAGGAAGAAGAGGAGGAAGAGGAACCTGTCCCCGCTACCACCAGCTCAGTCAGCAGCATTCGCAGCTATCGAGATGTCATCACGGTAGGCTGTCGGGGAGATTGCAGAGCATGTCATGAATTCTTAAATTTTGTGTTTTTCCCATTGAAGCTGGTTAAAGATGCACACAGAGCTCGGCTGGAGGTCAACAGTGCAGATGGCAATAGTTGAATCCTCACACACTATTTGCTGCAGTGTTTCAATCAGTCATGTTCGAGGGATCACGCTGATCCATGACGGATCGAAGAGGCATAGCAAATTATTGAAGTTATCTTGGGCGTATTGAATGCACAGATTTTTCTTTTGCTTTTAATATCTTCTCCTTTATCCAGCATGTTATATATGCACATTTTCCCCCACATTTTTACATCAGGTCTGTTAACAGAGCAACGCATCCACACATCATCATCACTTCAGCTCCAAACAAATTCCCCCAAGTGGCTTCTGAATATGAGACTGATAATTATAGCTGTGTAAACACACTGGTATTTGGGGAATAGGCTTAGAAACTTTCACAGCCCGTTCCCTCCATATAATGAACCCGGTGTATGACACAAATGTTGGGTCTGTTGCTGCCAGTGCGTGTCTAGCCTGGCCCCTAATTCCTCCAACAATCATTCTCTTGAGTGTAAACTGCAATATGTCGGTATGACTTCGCTAGATTGGATAACTGCACATTCCTGACAGACCTCCTTCCTTTACTTGTACTCTGCTCTTCTGTCAGGCAGTGGTGGGTTGGGTCGATTAGGGTTCAGTGAGACGAAAAGCTGACAAAAGAGGACCGGACTCTCCAGTGAAGCATCTCACAAAGAAACTAATAGTTAGACGCTGAATGTGCTGGATAGGTTTCCTCATTGCTTGAGTGAAATGAAGTGAAGTGAGGAGTGGCTTCATGAGCATCCTCTTACCAAAGCTGTCAATCTGGAGTTTGGATTGTCGTTCATTATTCAACATTAAATCTCCAAACTATGACATTGCCGTACTTGTATAATTTAATTATCTGCCAGTAGTTTCTGTGGCAACTAACTTTTGCACTAAATAAGGTCTTCGTGCCCGATACAGATCATTGTTTTTAGTAGAAACAGTGCAAGCCACTGATGCAGCAGTATTTTAAAAATGGTGGTAAAGACTCTCACTACTCACTCAGGTGTAAATTGTGGAATTTCCCTTCAGTCGACGAGGAAAACAACACTTTCTGCTGTCTCAGACATTCCTGTGGCTAGCCAAGCCCATCAGGAGAACATGAAAATATGTCATTGGTCTGGTTTCCTCTTTTGTGTCACTGGAGATAATTTGACAACACATCCATTACTCAGGCAGGCAGCCTGTTATCATTACAATCACAGTCAAATACCTTAAGGGTCAGAGCTTAAAATGGTGCATTAGGTGATGCTAGTTAGGCAGTGTCACAACAGGACAATCAGGTTCATGCTGTTAATAGTTCTGGTTTACACAGTTTCACATTTTTAGCCACGCCATGACTCTGTGGGAATGTCTGTTGGACCACCGCTTTAAAATACCCAGAAGAACTATATTGGATGGATTGACATGAGATTTTCTACAGACAATCATGGTCCCAAGAGAGTCACGCCTACTGACTTTTTAATGATGCCCTGACATTTCTTCTAGCACCACCATGAGGCAGACTTTTATTTTGAATTTTGTTTTTTAAATGTGTCAAAAACTCTGGATGAATTATGCACAGACATTAATATCACCCTTTAGGATGAACTGTAATAACTTGGGTTTTCCATTTCCACTTTCCATTAAGTGCATTCATTTGTTTTGAACAAATACTTCCAAAACCAATGACATTCCCATCAACTGTACTTTGTGGTTTTAGTGCTAATTAACAAATGCTGCATTGCATTATTAAAAGAAAAACAAACCCAGAAAGGAAAGCTATTGGATAAGAAATATGCAACACAAAAGCAGCTTAAATTGCCTCAGAAGTGTTGTCCTCTCTTCAACTGTATGTCTTTATTTTGTGTGTTTGTTTTTGCCTTTTTTTCTTTTTCTCTTGATGTTGGAAAATAATTGGCTCTGTGTAGATGATTTCTTGATATTTACATTATTTCCAAATGTAATAAATAATTGGTCACAATAGAAAATCGTCTTTCTTTAACTACATAAGAGATCTTGTATGCCCTACTTATACCGGATACTACTGTGCTTTATGTTGGCCATGTTTAATTAATGATTATGAAGTATCCATATATATATATATATATATATAACCCATTCCTTCCCTTTTTTCCTGTACAGCTATGTTCTTCCCACCTGCCCAGCCCATCAGACGCCCCCAACCATTACAAAGCCGTGTGTCGTGCTCTCTATGCCGAGACCAGGGAACTACGCACCTTTCTGGAGAAGATCAAGAGTGCGAAGGAGGTAAGACACTCGTGCATTTGACATCTGTGAGTTCTTGATAAATCACCATAACAATTGATGATACACTTACATATGAAGTGAGTCGATTAAATCTCTTTTAGAAATATTGAGTCACTTCCTACACTCACCTATGTCACCCATCCACATTCCCAAAGTGGAGTAATTTTGACTCATACCTAAAACATTTGAGTCATTTGCACGTCACAAACCTATCAAAATATAAAATAAATTGAAAAGGATTAAGATTGGAGTCACAGAACAGATAAGAGGATAAGAGAAAGTACCAAACTCTCTTGTCCCTGGGATTTACCACTCCGCTTCAGTATGTGGATTTACTGTGTAGAATTCATTTGGTTGAATTAGGATGTTAGGCCAACAGGCTCGCTAATGCTGGGAAAGGAAAATACCAGTGTGGTGCCCAGAAACTGCACAATAGCAACTAACAGCCCACAGAGTGGTAATGGTCCAGAAGGATTGAGACTGCGTGGTTGTCCCTATCTGACCTCCTTGTCAGGCCAGTTGAGAACTGAACATTGGTTACACTATTTGGCATGAATTTAACTCTACACGGACATGATCTGGCATCCTGTTTCTCATGTCGGTGTGTGTACGACCTTATTGGCAGATTTATTTCTGTAAGTGGAGTATTGGTGTTGCAGTAATTGAGTATTAGATTAGTGAGGGACTCCAGAGCTTGTAGAGACAGACTGTTAACCATCTGGTAACCAAAATGTGCTGGAATGTACATAAAAATCATTAATTGATCATTGTTAGCATGAAAACATACCATGAAAGAAATACAGCATGGAAGATTTCATAAGCAGCTTGAGCAGACTCTGATAAAACAGATGTATCGTCACAAAGTTCACAGTTTGTTTTAGGCATTATTGACACAAAACCATGGACTCTTTTCTTAAAATGAGAGTTCCACAACTTCTGACAATAAACCTCCCGCTATACCTTTTTGCACCTGACAGTAATAATGGAATGCATACATTTTGATGAAAAGAAGAAAGACTTTGTGTAAAGTATAGCAGAGAGCTGGTGGAAAAACATTTCCCCAACCCAACTCAAGCATTTAAGATAAACATCAAGTGGAACTTTTTTGTTCCCTCATTGAGTTTTAGAGAAGATGTAGCCACGTGACGGCTTGTCAGACAGCGTAACTTTACTGTACAGTATGTACGCACTCGTTTGCTAAGTGCTGGCTGTGACTTCTGCAGGAGACATGATTCATGCAAACAGTCTTATGTAATATATGGTTATAGAATCAAGTTTAACCTTATTACAGCAGTTTAAGCAGCTTACAGGAGGGCACCGCCAGGCTATAGGGGCCGCTTTGCACTTCCTGTAGCACTGAATGTTACCGGATAATTGCTAATGAGTAACCATACACAGTACCACTCATCACACATGCTTACAAATTAGGAGGTTGGTCAATGAGTCTTTCTTTCAGTGTCTCTCACTGTTGTTGTTTTTCTCTCTTCTCTGTCAGTGTCTATCGGCTTCTCTCGTCTAGAAATAAACTGAACCCGTAGTTTGTTCTGGAAAGTGTCAATGAACGACAAGTTAACTGTCATGGTTTATAAAAGGAGGGAATCCTTGCTAATGAAGATGATTTGCAGCCAAAATGCATTTGGATATTAGAAGAGAAAGTTCAGATCAGCAGAAAAATAGATTGGGTTGAAGGAATGTGTTTCAGCAGTAAACACGGGTGTGGATGAATAAGATGTGTGGATGATAAGAAGGAAAGCAGCTGCAGCTGTCAGCAGGAGCCTTTAGGCGTTCTTTCTCTGATCTAAGGCTGATATGGTAGATCATGTTATATATATGTTAATTTAGCCTGAAACAACTTTTGATTAACAAGAACTTAACTTGAACCTCTTAGATTTTTATTTATTATAAGTGAGTATATGAGTATAAGGGCTGCACAATTAATCAAAATATCCAATCTCAATATGGCCGAGTGCAATATGCAAATCGCACAAGCTTCAATTTTTTCATAAAGGTAAAAATATGTGACAAAACAGTATTAACTGAAGTACTGTAGTGCTAGAATATTTGACACATGCAGCTGTCTTACAGTAATCAATATAAAAAAATATGTCAACTCCAGTCCAATCCTCAACCATACTCAGTTTGACATTTGAACTAGTCACCCAAAACTTTCAGTAACTAGCTTGTGCAGTGAGGGTTCGGCAGACAGACAATAATAGCAGCCATTAGTTGACTATTGGGTTCTTTAATTCTTTCTGGGACGCTGTCAATATAGGGCGAGACAGATATTGACATGGTCATGTGAAACAACATCCATCGATTCATTAACCAGACTGTGTTGACATTATGAGCAGTTTGCCATAGACCTCAACTTTATTTCAACCATGGCTGTGAGTGCAGTTGTGCAACTACTGAACATCATGACATTAGGATTTTTTTTTCTATTTTTTTCCTACTTTTTAACGTTTTTCCCATCCCTTTTTAGAACCTTCGGAAAATGGAAGGTGACACTCGGGAACCTGTGAAAGACCTCGATGAGCTGCAAAATTCAGATTGGGTAAGAACTACAGCTGCTACTACACTGCTATATTTTAGCTCTGTGACCATGTGTTGTAATTCTATAATATGCTGTCTGATCATAACTGCATTAAATATGAAATTCAGCCTTTTTGTCGTCCCCAACAGGCGCGGTTCTGGGTGCAGGTGATGCGAGATCTACGGGATGGTGTTAAGTTGAAGAAGGTTCAGGAGCGTCAGTACAACCCGCTGCCCATTGAATACCAACTTACACCATATGAAATGCTGATGGACGACATCCGCTCCAAACGCTACAAACTACGAAAAGTCATGGTGAGAATTTTACTAACCTGCACAGACACACCATAATCATATATTTCTGTTTAGCTGTTGTTGATCTGATCTGATAATGGTAGCTTCCCACCATCCTCTTAAGTGCTGTTTTTTTTTTCTTTCTTAAAATCATGATCCACATTAAGTTTAATGTTGTCATTCCAGGTGAATGGGAACATCCCACCAAAGTTAAAGAAGAGTGCTCACGAGATCATTCTTGAATTCATCAGGTCGCGACCACCTCTCAACCCTGTGAGTAGCATACAACATGGTGTCAGTAATCTGTCAGAGGATACATTCACATTGTTGAACAATTTAAGTCTTCAATAAGTTTGTATGGAGAGAACTTCACAATTTTAGTCCAAACAGTAGTTAGTATACAAGTACTGATATCTGCATTTCCATCAGAGTGAAATTTCAGTTTGGCAACATTTAGAGAATGGCTGATATGATAATTATCATCCGTATTCAGCCGGGTTGGGAAAACAATATTTCGTTGTCAGTTGTTAAATGAGAACACAGACATTCACAGTAGAAGCCAAATGACTGGGTGTGAATGATGGGCAACATAATGTCACAGGCATGCCCATCATCACATGGTGGTATTGTTAACAAAGTGATAAACTAACAGAATAGTTGGATCATTTCATGCAATTAGAAAGCACGCACTCAGAGGTATGAGGGGAAAATTTCACTTTGGTCTCCATGGTGATGGCAGTCATGTGCTAACTTGTGCGGATGTCATGTCAGGTCTCAGCCCGTAAACTGAAACCCCACCCGCCACGTCCCCGGAGTCTCCACGAGCGACTGCTGGAAGACATCAAAGCTGAAAGGAAGCTCAGGCCCGTCTCACCAGACATGATCCGCAGAAGCCGCCTAGGTAAGCCGCTGACAGTTGCACACACGTACTGATGTTTGCATGCTTACATACATGCAGAAATGTCCAAAAATGTGCAATGATCTCCTGGGCATAACGCACACAATGCATTGGATGATTTGTTCAAACTATTAAACTAAACTTTTCTGGTTTTCTCTGAAGAAATCCTTCGACTGTAAATTTACTGCATGACTGCTCTTTATGAGCCCAACAACCCCTCCACTCAGGACAAAAACCATTAACCATGACTTAATCATTCTTAACCACATCCATCATGTTTACTGTTAACAGCCCTCTTCCTACATTGATCTGTTCACTTAACCGGGAGTATCTTAGTGTTTAAACAAGGATCACTTTGACTGCAGCTGTGAGCCTGCAGGTGTTTGCTAGACCTGCTAAAGTAACTGTTGTGGTTACTTACAAATGTTCTCTTCGACTGATAAGTTCTTTGGTTTAAACTGAATGGACATTCTTAATATGATTCCAGTATGTAATGCCGCCCTCCGTGGTTAGCTTTATAAATAGAGGTAGATAATCCTTTTGATCTACAGTTGTTGTAATTGGCCAATTGGATATAATGTTTCAAACCATTTAAGACTTTAATCAGATCAAAACAGCAAATATTTTGTCAGTCTATACCATACAGTGCTCATATGCCATTTACACAAAATGCCTTTTGTTAAGGGATTTAGGAGGTTAACATGGAGCAGCTGTTGCATAACCACACATATGGCAGGCTATACGGGTTCTCTGAACTGTTGCTAAAAATAATATGGTCCTTTTTTATAATCTTTTCAAGATTTTCAGAATATGTTTTATCAAATCGGATGATTCAACAACTTTAAAATCCATTTTAACTCACATGGATTTCTTTTTCTCCTATTTGCTTCTATTTCCTTTTTTTCTCCAAACACGGGCATATCTGTCAGTCATGCGACCTCTTAGCATGTCTTACAGTTTTGACTCATCAGGTAAAGTTTCACGTCACCTATTGTGTTCCTATTGTCGTACCTTGTGTTTCATTCCAGGCTATTTTAGGATCCTGATTTAAACACAAACCTACCCTCTTCTTTTTCATGCTGGTGACACAGTATTGTCACTTACCTACAGCTACTGTCCCTGAGGAAGAGATGGGTCTACACAGTGCAACCTAATCTCAGGCTGTGAAATGGTCACCTTAATGTTTTTTGCTGGGAGGTGGAATAAAAACTGCTTCAGGGCAGGAATTCTATATTTTAGGTATGTTATGAAAGAATGATACAAGTTTAACAGGGTGCCCTGGATATAGTAGTTAGTCAAAAGCACTGTCTGTGGTCTAGGTGATGAGGGATAGCCATTGAGCCAGAGCCAGTAGGATGAGATTACAGATCATCGCTCTGCCTCTGCTGCCAGTTTTCCCTGCTTGTCACCCTAATCCGCTGTCACTGTGGAATATGGAAAATTACATAACACTCGTATCAGCAGCCTACCTCAGATAAATAGTTTAATGGCAGATGACGGTCTGAATGTAGCCCTGGATTCTCACAGGATGACCATAATCCAGATGAATGTACGGGAATAACCTTTTGCACTGTGGCTGCACACATTGTCTTTCTCTGCTTCCCTGGCACTCCCCTTCACTCTCCCGTCCCCTATGTGTGAATGTAACCCACTATTACACACCACCCCCTCAATTCACACCTGGTCTGACAGATGCTTGTTGCTGTCAAGTCCTCCCTGTGGTAGCAGTTTGGTGTTAGGGATGGAAATCAATAAATTAGTAAATAATGTGTGTGGGCCTACTGAAAGTTATATTTCTTTAATTCCTTTACAGGTGCAGGGAAAAGCATCAGCACTCCTCAGGACTTGTTCCGCAGCTCAGGTAAAGCACTAATGAAGCATCAGTGGTGTGATCTTTTGTTTTGGCCTCTGTCACAAAATACATATAAGAATTTTCAGTCAATTTTTCCCTTAATTAAATGATTGAGGACAGAATCTGTAACATAAGCATATGTTTGGGGCTTATCTTGGTCGCCATGTGGTCCGCGTAGACTCTGGCTGTGTGATGCAGCAACAATACAAGACACCCATAATTTACACAGGAGACATGATGGCCAGCTGTTAAGATAAGGAGACAGGTCATGATCATTTATGGTTCACTTGTAATACAACACTGTTCATAACCAAAATCGTATCGTTCACCCGCAGACACTCCTGATGCACCCAGGAAGTTGGCTGTCAGCACCCAGTCTCTGGCCAGTGGCACCATGGGACCCAATCAAGGTGGAGCGCAGCCCCTCAGCCAGAGGAAGAGGCTGCTCAGAGCGCCCACGCTGGCTGAGCTCGACAGCTCTGAATCTGATGTAAGATGTCTGACTCTGAATGGCTGTACTCATAAAATGATCATTGATCCAATTACACTGGACTGGATTTTGTTTTGCCACGCAATATTTAAAGTAATTTAAAGCTCAGTATCACCTAACTAAATATGCGTTCTGATTGACAGGAGGAGGCCACACGGAGCAGCTCCAGTATGTCCACATCTTTGATAGAGGACACGTCACCAGAATCTGTCATAGGGAAGAAGGGTAAGGGCTCACCTGGAACACCTTTTGACCATTGCAAAACATAATTCACCAGATCTTCACCAAATTTACTCTTTAGCTGTCTTTTCATGTGTTGTTCTCCTTTTGTCTTGTGTTTCCAGCTCCTCCAAATTTCCTGCCCGTCTCTGCCACCCCTCAGCCAGAAAAGCGTCAGTCTCCACAGAGGCGGCACTCTATCGAGAAGGAGGCCCCCACCAGTGTCCACCCCTTTGCACCTCCATCCAGACAGACCTCCAAGTCTTTGGTACGTCAACTGTAGAAGCTATTTCTATTGGATTATTTATTAAGGCCTGTTAATGGATGAATTAAATCTTTAAAGTTGAAGACAGATTTCTAACATCCCAACTTTTTATAAACATTATATTACTTCCATAACAGATACTACTATGTCAATTATAAATACACTTACATTAGTGATTAAGATTAGATTAAGATGATATATCATGTTCTTTATCGATATAATTATGATTATTCTCCTTAAATGCCATCAGGATCTCTAATGAGTAAGATGTTAATCAGTCTGAACAATCGTAAAAATATAGTAGTTCAAAGAATTTAGTTCAAAGTACAAAGAATTTGTAGAGTAACAAATCATACAAATGGACTTGATAGTTTAAATGAACTCCGGCTGAATCTACAAACAACCTTGGACATACAATAATATAGCTGTTGAATTTACTCCCGTCCTGTGACTGGTCATTTGTCTTCCATGAGGTCATTGGTTGGTGACTCTGTGTCGGTCGTATGATTCCAGGCAGCGAGGTTGATGGATGTAATTGAAACCACAGGACAGGCCGCTGTATGAAGGGATTTAGATGGAATTGGTTCATTCTCACCACTTGCGAGTTTAATAGCAGACTTCTGGCGCCAAACCGGTTCTCCTTGTTCCAACCACCCAAAGATTGTCAAATCAGAAAAAATGCAGTTAAAATCCTGGAGGAGATGGCTCTCCGGGGATAGGTTTACATTATTCTTTTACAGTATCTCCCTCTTAAAATTAGCCACCATTTCTCTTATGTTTCTATTTTAATGACCAAAGGAAAGTTAATACTGAGTATATCAATCGGATATTGCTGATTATTCACTTTGAAAGCAATAGCATTATTTATTAAAAGTAACATTTTTAAGTTATTGACTGTCCTTTATGCATTTCATGTTAGTGATTACTTCCTGTCTTGTTTTCTAATAATTAGAATAAAAATGTCTGTCCGATTGAAGTAATCAAAAGCAACATTCACAGTTTTCTAGTCCTTTTCATAATAAAATCAAATAATAATTTATTTCACCAGGAGCCGTGTTTCTTTTCCTTTTTTAATACAAGCACATGTTCAAACATGAGCTTCTCTTGTAGATGTAAAACAGTAAGATCCTTGTTGCAGTTCCCCTCCCTTTCTGGTACTCATGTATGTTATATCTTATTAAAATGTTTAAACTAGTCAGCTGTCTTATACCAAAGACTTACTTTCCATCACTTCCTGTTTTTATATAATGCTGCAGCTGATTGAGGAGCCCAGTGCCAAGGTAACTTGGTCAACCTTTTGTCTAACCATTACCATAAGCCCTTTTTTTTTTTTTTTTCTACATTTACCTTCATTATAGCATTTCTTCTGGGACAGATTATGGGAGACACAGGAAGCAGTGATGTGTAAGATGTAGGTGTGCACCATCAGTAGACACCAGCTGTGATCTTTTGTGACTGTGAGAGAGAAGACAGAATGAAATCACGAAATGAGGAAAGCTGCCATCTCAATGAACGACCCCTTTTGAGAAGGATGCTGTCAGATGATTTTTCTGTCATGGGACTTCCTGTTATGAAGTTCTGCTTTAATGGATGAATACACACAAGATGAAATAACAGTTAATTAATGTTATGACCTATGAGAGAGTTTGTGAAATAATGTATGAACTCTTGTAACTCTTCCAAAACCTTAGTAAACATTTATTTTTTGCTCAGTTGTTAATACCAGATTTATCATTTGACATTTGTCAGTCTCTCAAAATGTCCTCTAACAGATGTAGTTCTTGTATTAAATGATATCAAGCGTACTGCATGTGATTAGCTTGTTGGAATATAAGGTCCTGCTTCTGTTTGAATGTCCTGTTCCCTCTGTCTGCTGGTCAGGTGGAAGCTGCCAGTGGTGCTCAGGGCACGGTATGTCACTGTTACTGCTTATCATCAAAGGCACAGAACACTGTGTGGGGAACCCATCCAGAAAACTGTATAATTCAATAGACTTGTTTTAGATGACTGGGTCCATTTGTGTGAATGGGAGATCAGCGGCATAATGAAAATAGCTCAGGGAAGGTTAAGAAGAAGAAAAGAGTTGCAAAATGATCTGTAAACATTCACAGCAGAGTCTGACATTTTCTAATCCAGGCCTATGGAGATAAATGATTGGAGAAGAAGTTCCCTGAGCAATTTTCACTTCTGAGGAGTTTGACTTTGGGTCGATTGGCTCTAAAGTTGAGACAAAAGATAGATGATTATGTTGAAAGTGTAAGCTCCCAGCTATGTCACAGATCTCCTGCCGACAAAAGCTTGCACCATGATGGGGTCCACTTGCAAATTGGTTGAGTTGAAATAGTGATAAAACATTAATTTGTATGGAAAACAGTCATAGTATTGTTGAAGGTCCATTTAGTGTTGTTAAAATTAAACATGGTTCAATTCACCATGTTGAGCTGCCTGACTTCTAAATTTAGAAACAGTTATCTGTTGAAGCTGTTTTTTGTTAGTTTTTAATATGGACCTGTGGTCAGGAATAAGGAAAATAGAATAATTGAATGAAGTAAACTGACTGCCAAAAGCTGTGGACCACCATCATGACGGGTGTGTTGCATCACCAGGATGCTGTGTATTTCACTGTTCATTGTCACGCTGTCATGTTGACGGGAAACATCACATGACGTGGGTCACAGAAAGCAAAGAATACCCGTGTTTTCACCTTCACAACCTCATCGCATGCTTGGTATTTTGGTAAAGTGGTGTACAGTGGTTGTTTTTATTTTGGTGAAGTCAGTATGACTGCATTGCTTGGACTGCGCATTTAGTCACATTAACACCTTGTTAGTCTCGTTGGCAGCAGGTCTCATCACTTCTTGCTGTTGCACGGTTTTGGGTTATCCGTATCCTGATCTGCATATGTGAGGGTTGGTGTGTTGATGTGTTTTTTTTCTCCAGGAGGAGTTCTGTTACCCGGTGGAGTGTCTGGCTCTGACGGTGGAGGAGGTGATGCACATCAGGCAGGTTCTGGTCAAGGCCGAGCTGGAGAAGTTTCAGCAGTACAAAGACATCTACACAGCCCTCAAGAAAGGAAAGGTACACACAGCATGAAGGGTTTTTGTTATCAGTGAGACAGTTTTCCTCACAATTTCTTATTTAATATTATTCTGTGCACCTCATTCACCTCAACTCCTGCTCTCCTCTTTAGCTTTGTTTTTCGTGTCGGACCAAGAGGTTCTCTCTCTTTACCTGGTCCTACACCTGCCAGTTCTGCAAAAGGTAAATTCAGTCTCTGTTACTAGAACTTTTCAATTTAAAGGCTTTGATAAGGAAGATAAACACATGGAATAAAAAAAGTTATGTTTTATGTTAAACTGTCCATCATGAGTCAAACTATGCACTAGAAGTACAATGCTAAATTGGTGCAGTACAGTTTTAAATATAGCATCTGTTAATTTTTATCTTCTCCAGGCCTGTGTGTTCGCAGTGCTCTAAAAAGGTAGGAAGCTCTTCGCTCACATTTAACACACTTTTAAACGCTCACTTTAGAATTGTTGACACTCTTGACACCTGTATGCTGCACCACGTGCACCCACAGGTGCTTCATAAACTACATATACTGTACAGTTTGTTTTTAACCATTTTGTGTATCTTTTTTACCTTAGATGCGGCTGCCGTCTAAGCCCTACTCCACATTGCCCATCTATTCTTTGGGCCCCAGTGCTGCGGCTAAAGAAGAGGCGAGTGGAGCGTCTGCCCCTGCTGAACCAGAGAAGCACCCGTTTGGGTCCGGACATAGCCGACACAGCCTACGCAGAAGTGTTTACAAGTATGTTATTGTAGAACAGTTTTTTTCTGTTTCTTTTTATTGTTTGTTTACACAATAATACAAGTCAAAATACATACACGAAATATAAGAACGGAAGGAACCTCGAAAGGCTTATTCAGGGTCCTCCCTAAAACCGAAAAAACACATAGCACAAACATTCTCTATATATACGACATAGACAAGCATAAATGTAATGTAAAAGAAAATGTACATAGTTAAACTGAGGAAATATGGTCAAAATGCTTTATCAGATCAGTTTATTCATTCTTTCTTTCTGTCCTCAGGTTGTCTAAGCACAGTAGTAGCAGTAAAGAAGGCCGCTCACAGGATGAGCCAGAGCTGCCCAAAGAGCTTACTGAGGACTGGGTCACCATGGAGATCTGTGTAGACTGCAAAAAGTTCATCACGGAGATCATCTCCTCCAGCAAGCGCAGCCTGTGCGTGGCTACCAAGCGCGCCCGCCTCAATCGCAAAACCCAATCCTTCTACATGTCCTCATCTAACTCTGTCAACTTCAGGCCCTCTGAGCGCACCATCAATGAGGTGTAGAACGTAGAACTGCCTTGTCGTCCACGCTTCCTTTAGAGCTTAGTCGTTCAATGGGAAAAAAAAAATCCCCTCTTAGTCTCGTTTTGACACGAACTGGTTCACTGTGAAGATGAAGCCAGGCCCATCCCAAAGTTAGAAAGGGGTTCTTATATCTTACCCCCCCCGTCTCAGGAAAAGTTGGCATGCTATGATTGGTCATGACTGGTCAGGACTCGAGAGTAGTTGCCAGATAACAAAGGAAAGCCATGTTTCTATGAGTCAATGATAATTCAGGATACGCTCGGTAAAATGAACAAATTAAGCTGCTGATGTCACTGTTGCGAGCCAGGTAGGAGAATGTATATGTGACAAGAAGAGCGGGATCGGATGACAGAAAGCCAAAAGCTGCGGTGATGGCGTGTAAATAGTAAAAAGGCCCATCCCCAATCTTAGCTATCAATACATTTTCCAGTTCCTGTTTACTTCTAGCACTCAGGAAGAACAACAGATTGTCGTTGTGACAGAAATGCACTGTAGATCCTGCTATCGGGTCTGTTGGGGTAGATCTCTGCCACTCCCCTGCCCCCCTCTTTTTCTTCCAGCAACAATTATGCCAAATGTTACATGTTTTTTTTTTTTTTCTTTTCTTTTTTTTAGCCAGTTTAAATGTATATAATACTGTTCTCTTATGTTATAGGGATGACACATTGAGGGGTGAGAATGGCCAGATTATTTCTCTGGGTGGGTTTTAGCTATTAGTTGTATATTCAATTCTGTGCCTGGTGCCAAAATGTAATTTCTTTCTTTGAATGCCTTTGTAGTTACGGACCTATTGTACATATGTGTGATAAACTCAATGGGAGACATTTTAGGGTAATCCAAGGTTTGGTTTCTTGCCCTTCCATGTTCCAAGATGGGCAATAGAAGCACAGAAATGTTGGGTTACAAATGTGTACATGTTGTATATCTTAATTGTTCCAAATTTAATATAAAAAATCCTAACTAAGTAGAAGTATAATTTTACCATGTTTTAAGATTTCTGCCTCTGGAGTTTATTTGAAATTCATCTCTGAAAACTTTATTGTTAGTGTTATTTGAATTTAATATTAAGATTTTATTTCTATTGTATAGTTTATGAACTCAGTGTTAAAATACTCCTAAATCACAAATCGCACTTTTATTGGACCAATTTATTGTTTATGTTGGGTTTTTGTCTTAATTAATAATAATTGTCTGTTTAATAATATAAGTCTTCGTTTGTCAGCTCTCGGGGGGGTCTATAGTGCCATTTCCCAGGGTTCCTCGTGAATGAAAGTGTGTTTGAATGGCTGCTGGTTGTTTGTTAAAATGCAATAATGGCCAAAACAAAACACTCCATTGAATTGAATGTAGGCATTTTAACATGTGGAACTGTCATTGAATATGCTTTATGAACTTTTATTCCTGTTCAAAAGACACACACACACACACACACACCAAGTGAACACAAAGCCTAACCAGCCTGTTAAATACTGATGCCATGTTCCAGTGAAACCATACATATGACCAGTTTAATTTTGTCCTCCTGTAAGGAATGTATGCATGCTGTGCTATGATCTGTTTGTTTTTATCAAAGGAATTATAATAAAATCATCATGATTCTTAAAGTTGACTCAAGTATCCTATTGCAAAGAATTTAACCTGGGGTTACACAAATGTGCCATGTAAGAGCACACAAGTGCAAAGTCACATTAGACGACAGCAGAGGGCGGTAGAGGTACAATGAAATGAAATCTTTGTTGCACTTCACATCAGCCTGTGGTGTCGAGGACATCAGGTGGTGGAAGCTGTGCATTGCAGGTATCTTAAGTTACACTGAGAAATTTGTTGTCTAGCAAAAACTCTTAACTCAATCGACAAGCTGCAATCATTTTAGAAATGGTTATATTTTCTATAATATTATATATTTTTAAATATATATTAAGTATTACTCTAGTATTCCAGTAAATAAAAATAAACCATGCACAATATCAAAATAAATTTAATCTGTTGCTTGTTTTCCTACTGCTACTGTAGGAATAGTCCATCTAGCTTTGTAGCTTTAAGAATTAAGAGTGCTGAACGTTTGAGTGTATATACTGTCTGCACTTATTGTCTAAACCATATCAAACAGAACCATTAGTTGTAGCATAGTTGTATATTTCCAAATATATGCTGTAACTAAACAGGGTTGTCTATCTAGTCTCAGTAGGAGTATGAATGAAAAAGGTATAATCTCTCAGCATTTGGGGGGGCTTTTATTAATGGATAGTGACAGCTGGCAAGAGAGGGAGGATAACACGCAGCAAAGGGCCACAGGTCAGATTCGAGCCCTGAGCCACTGCAGCAGGGTCTCAACCGGGGTACATGGGATCCCAGCTCTATCAGGTGGCTATCAGGGTGCCCCATCTCTTGGCATTTCCACTCCACCTCTGAGTGTATAGGTGTAAACCTTTTTAATCCCCCTATCCATCACATTAACACCGGCGGGTGTAGTGTTACAGACTGGCAATAGGCCCTCTCACATGACACAGCAGGGAAACCCCTCAATTAGTATTTTACACTTCTTAAAACAGATGCACCCGGATGTTGTCGTTTCTTGAACATGAACTATCTGTATAAGGGTCTTTAAAACTTGTTTTTAGAAAGGAGAAATTAATATTACTGATTGATTTTACATTGTGTTTCATGGTTTTACTGTGTAAAAGCTGACAAATTATTCAGACTTTGCCTGATAAAGCACATAGGGGCTTGTTTAAAACCCCCCACAAGGTTTATGTAGGGTAAGGTTTATACTGGTGGCTCCATATGCATATAGTTCCTCTAACCACAATTGCTGTATGTGTGTGTCTGTGCACACAGACACACACACACCCAGAGAATGGGCTAGCAATGAAATGCTATCCCTTGATGGGTTAGTAACAGACACTGAAAATAACCTGCCAGGCCACAGCCTCCCTGAAGGGTGACCCTCACACACTGGTTTCTATGGAAAGACAGCAAGCAAACAGACAGTCAATAAACAGTCTGAAGAGGCTGTGTATTTAGCAGCAGCTCAATAAAAAGTTTCACAACGTGTTGTTCTGAAATGCTGCTCTGGCTAACTGAGTCAAGCATATGACATCTGACTCAGCTGATGGCAAATAATTCTTAATGGTCACAGTCATTGTTTATGGGTTCAAACTTGAAGGTTTCAAGTCTGTGTTTAGACATTCTGCTGGATGTTATGTACTAGTGTGTGTGTGTGTGTGTGTGTGTGTGTGTGTGTGTGTGTGTGTGTGTGTGTGTGTGTTGATAATAATTAGGTATCAGGTATTAAATCCTCACACATACACAGAGGGGTATTTTGAGGCATTCAGAGTGACCAGGCTAACAAGGAGCCATTTAACTCACTGACAGTCTGGGCTTGCTAATGTGCAGTGTGATGAAATTCCCATTTGGTTGCTGATCCTGGGCAAGTTTCAATGTTTCCCCACTAATGGGCAGGGATTAAAATGTAAGAGTGAAATCTGATCTTGCATCTCTTCCCCTAAGGTCAACTTCAGCGGAGGGCTGCATACAAGTAGGCCATACCATACAAACAGTGAGCCTCTCAGGGGGGAAACTGGTAACTAGATATTTAGTCTACATGTGGAGCTCCTCTTGCCAGACGCTCTTTATGATGAGAATGTGGCCTGAAGGGTCAAGAGGTTGGCCCATGTCAGTCGTACTGTAACGTAAAGCTACGTATTCATTAAATGCCAGACAAACTATCATTATCCCTAAAATATTACACCCAAGTTAAATATAATGCAGTATTTCTGTGGACTTAATGATGTATGGAGAACAAATGTGTTACCTGATAGCCAGCGAACATGTTTCTGTGTCCGTGTCAACAATGTTCCCTTGAGTATGAAGGGAACATGACTCAGCCAGTCCGCAGACAAATGGAGAACCATTTAAATCGGCAACAAGTTCAACTAAAGACAGTCCAGTAAAACAATGACAAAACCAGTACCGCTGTCCAAAACAGAGTCTGTAATTTGTTCTTGTGTGCAGAGAAATTCAAAGCAATAAATTAGAAATGGGATTTTCTTTGCAGTATCACCACATACATAAAGATAAATAACAGTGTTCCTTTATAAACCAAACAGAGAAAACAATATCCAAAATATAAGCATATTGTACAGAAGGAAATAAAACAATTTAAAGAAAAAATATGCAAGAGAAAGTCAATTGTGCAAGTAGCAGCGACACATTTTGCATCATGCAGTTGATCAGAGATGCAGTCTTCCAATGAAAGACTCACTACAGGGATGCATGCCATGGATAATCCAATGGGGTGATAATAGGGTTGCCATGGCAATTGTTACCATGGGCAGGGGATGGAGCACAACAGTGAATGTGTGCTCCTTAAGGGTCAAGAGGGTTACAGTGGCAAGACAGAGGTAACAGTAATGGCCTGTAATGATGGTTCCACAGTGTCACTGTCTGACATCTTCCTCTGATATGTTACTGTTTTTGTTCTCTTTGACTATTTCCTCAGATAAACAGAAGATTTATTTCAGATCAGTGAATATGTTAGTGAGAAACCACCAGCAGGATACATGTGTACATGCAGGCTCACGTTGGCTACAAACCCTGAAAAACCCCGTCCCCATTTCCAGTCATAGTTGCCCTTGGAAAGTCACTGCATCCCTGCCACGCACTTGCCCTCAAAGGCAGCGTTGTCACATGTCCTTACATCAACATAGCTGCCTGTGAAGCCATTTTCTTCATCTAACAATTGTACACAGTGAAATTAGAAGTAAACCGCCTCTGAACTACTCAACTATTTGTGTTTTCAGTGCTTCAACTCATCTCAAACATGTATTTTTATGCTACTCCATATTAAATACACTGCACTATGTTGCAAGCAAAGACACGCATGAATCAATGCAGATCATGCTTTGTTGGGGGTTGCAGGAACAATTCTCAGGCCAGATAAACTGGAATTAAGTTGGCCCAGATAATTTCATTTAAGTAAAATTGTGCTTCTCAGCAAACATGATAGATTATTTTGCAGGGGAAGCTTGTCCACAACTCTGTGTGACTCTGTCACAATTGTTCTCATCAACAAGTGCACTCTGATAGAAACATGTGGGTCAATGAGGAATGTATTTTCTATAAAGTGCAAATTTATTAGCTGTCTGTTCTGTCACTTTCAGTTTTACATGACAAGCACAGAGTTAATAAGCAGCCACAGATGTAATTCCCTATGTATTTAATTGTCACAGGGAAGTCAGCTGCAGCTGCCAGCCAGTGATATGCAGTGTATAAATGTCTGGGAAATTAAAGCATTAACACTTTTAGTTACCATCAAACGAGTGCAGCCATCTGCAGAAACAGCTTTTTGGATTACTTATGTGTCTGAACAGCTGCTTGTTGTGTAAGTATTTTCTGCCTCTCGTCATCTCTTGGGTTCTCAGTTCAGTTCCCCTCCAGGTGCCTTAGACACGACACCTCTGCTCGTCAGCTGAGCTCTCCTTTGATTCAGAGGAAACCCTGCCTGGCCTAACATGCCGCTAAGTTGTGGCAAAGACTGAGCTGCGTGAAGGAATGCAGTCAGTTTGAAATGGTTTCCCATTTGTGTAGGTAGAGGCCAATAAATCATGGCAAAGGGGAGGTGAAGAACACGTAGCAAAGCATTCACCCAAGTGGCTGGTTGGGTGGTGGGTCATGGTGGGTTGGGTCTGTTGGAAACGCAGACCAGCGGCAGGGAGCCGTGGTCAAATAGCTTGTAGGGCAAAGAACCTTTTGAGGTCCAAATGTCAGTCTTGGGGTCGTAACACTCGAAGCAGTCCGAGTCCTCGATGACATCGTGGCCGTTGAGAATGCGTCCACCGGTGACGTAGAGCTTGTTGTTGATCACTGTAGCGCTGTGATGCATCCGCCGCTCCTTTAGGTTCTCACACTTAACAAATTTGTTGGCTTTGGTGTCGTAGGCAATCATTCGCCTGGTGTATCCTGGAGATTGAGAGTTTGTATTCAGCCAATGTTAACTTTAATTATATGATATCTTATAATGTCCTCATTATCAACAAATCCAATTATAAAAACCAGCAATGAATTGACAGCAAGTGTCGTTTGTGTATCAAAGCTTGATTTAGCTCATTCCTCTGTGCCATAGAGCTCTATTGTTGTCCAAAATCTATTAAAAACACCTCCCTGAGCCACATGTTGCAGTGGGTGTGACAGTGAACTTGGGCACTGTAATTAGAGTCATTCCCACATACATCGTCCTGATGCTGGAAATACTTACTAGAGCACCAAATGTGTAATAATCTGCAACTGAAATAGGTCCAAAACAAATGCTCTATTTATTCCTGTCTGAGTAACGTTTGCTAAAAACTGCAGCGCCCAGCTGTTTTATGAAAATACTTAGCCATTTGTGAGGTGTTATTTTTAAAGATTTACATCTTCAGTATCGAGAGACAGGCTACTTGATCTAAAAATCAATTAAAATTCACACCTACTGTAAAGATGTTAATGACTACATTTGTAAAATAAAACTACGTAACAGCTGGGGAAAAGCATTCATTGAGCTCACCTCCTATGATGTAGATCTTGTCTTCGATGACAGCAGCAGGAGCACAAACGTTTTTCACCG